TCTCATTCACACACCAAGGCCATTTTAGTAAAATAAATTCCCCTATAGCGATTGTGTTTGGACTGTGAGAGTGTGTACCCGGAGGAAACCCACACCAACACACGGAGAACATGCAAACTCCACACAGAAATACTCCTGGCCCAGTCGGGACTCGAACCAGTGACCTTCTTGCTGTGCGGCAACAGTGCTAAGCACTGAGCCATGGTGCCACCTATATGTAAAAAAAATAAAAATAATAATAATAAATCAAATATATTTTATATTAACAATTAAACTGTTAAATTAATATTTTAAACTTTTGATACATTTTTACAAAATGCCTTGTATTTTTTGTAAGCTTGCTTTGAATTAAAATGAAAATAGGAGGATATATGTAGAATTTTACATACGTTTGACATTATTCTCATGCCACTTTCTCACATTTCTTCTGCTTAAATTACGCTTGTAGAGAGACCATTCGGCTTCACTTTTGTCTTAACAGGGAATTAACAGTCAGAAGAAATTTGTTCTAAATAAACAAAGAGTGAATAAATAGCAGGGGCGATTGGGTGCGAAATAAAACCCAGCGGGAATCAGACTGAAAAAATAGTCCAGTGGAGATTTCTAGGCTCATGATCTGGGTCCACCTGTTAGTCATAGCCTAAAACAGGGGTTCTAAAAGGTCCAATTCTGATTTTTTTTATTAAGGTCAAAGGTATGAAACAATTGATATTACATTACTTGTTTTTAATAAACATTCATAAGATGCAGCACGGTGGCACAGTGGATAGCACAATCGCCTCACAGCAAGGTCACTGATTCGAGCTGGCTTGGGGCAAAATAAACACATACTTATCTGTTCATTCAACTTTGAACTGTCTATTCTCTTTATCAAGTTTTATTTTCTGTGAGGCCGACATCTTCATCCATTCAAAGATCGCTTTGCTGCAGTGTTTTAAAGTAGGCGTGCAGGCGCGATTATCAAGCTTGATCATGAATAAGGCCCGACCCTAACCAATTTGGAGCCCTAGGCAAGATTTCAGGTGAATTCCAGTAAATTCCACTGCTAGTGTACATATACTCCTAAGACACTTATTAGCTTTGTTTTGGACATTCTTTATTTTTAATAAAGCAAGTGTACATTCAAAATACTTAGAAAGAAGTTTTTGCAACTCTGGGACACGTCGAAAAAATACGTAGCGATTATGCATTATGAAACCTGTGTAAGTTTTGCAAGTGGACAAAACAAAAATTAAAACAATATAATGATGATCTTATTTTAACTAAAAATGCTATGAAGCAGAAAGGAGAGATGAAGAGTCAGGCAGGTAAGATTAGGCCTAAATTCACAATTCAGGTCTAAAAAGACAACAGATAATTCTGATTCATTCATTCATTTATTTTATTTTCGACTTAGTCCCTTTATTAATCAGGGGTCGCCACAGCGGAATGAACCGCCAACTTATCCAGCATATGTTTCACACAGCAGATGCCTTTCCAGCTAAAACCCAATACTGATAAATATCCATACACACTCATATGCTATGGCCAATTTAGTTCATCAAATTACCTATAGTTTTTGGAATGTGGAGGAAAACCCACGCCAACACAGTGAGAACACGCAAACTCCACACAGAAACACCAACTGACCCAGCCGTAACTCAAACCAGCGACCTTCTTGCTGCAAGGCGACAGTGCTACCCACTGCGCTACCGTGCAGCCCACAGACAGTTGTGTCTTTGTGTTCCAGTTACATTTAGGACAAATTTCTGTTATTTATTTAGAATTAATTGTATAGTAATATTAAAAATAATATATATATATATATATATATATATATATATAATATTATAAATAAATGGAGGGTGAGGTGCTTTTGAGGATAGGTCATGGTCCTGGTCCTCAGTGGTGACATCAGCATACAACTATGCATAATTCTGAATAATTTCTAAATGAAACTTTGAGATGAATACTTATGCTATACACATATTCTTGCCCTCTGCCATTTGACTACATATAAATAGAATCAGAAATTAGTCATTATCAGATTCTCTCTTGCATATTCAACATGTATGGCAGATATATACTGCTGCTCACAATCAGTAATGTTTATTCTCACACAGAAGACACATTACCTGAATATTAATTTTTACACAAAGTCAAACCTCATTCTGTCTTTAAAAAGATTCAATTATTGCTGGAATTTGTGGACTTAGTCCAGTGATCATCCATTCTGAATGTTGACTGGATTTGTGCTTATTAATATAATATGCAACTCCAAGCAACATTATTACAACATTTTTGCTATTCCATCATTTAATTACTGTAATTTTACACTCTCTTTATACTCTCTTAACCCCACCCCCAAAAGCAGAAGTTGATCTGGGATAAGTTTATACGGAAGGTGTCCTGACCAGCATGCATAATAGGCTGCACTGATTCAGACGTTATGATCGACGCACATCTTTAATGGAAAGAAAGTGAATGCAGACGTTTTCATATTCATTTAATTCCCCATTTATGCATACAATTCTAAAGAAAATCTCCAATGACTACTTATGCATCAAGCAAAAAAAGGTCAGACATAAGGTCAGGATAACCAGAGGTGAAAATTAGCTCATCGTCTCCGTCAATAAAGAACCCACACATACACAAAGAATGCTTATGTCATGCTCTATAGCTGGCATCTTATCAGAATTATAAAATAATACTTTTCTACTGGCAGCTATACCTAAACATAAAAAACTCTTTCATACATTAGAGCCTTAAACAATTTATTCTTTATCATATAGTAAAATGTACATCTATTGACAGCTGCATGTCCAGGTGAACAGCTTAACATCAAACATAAACATGAATTATTTCAGCAATGGAGAAGTGCTTTGCTCATTAACAGAGATTCACCTGTACCTAGAAACATTACTGGGAGAGTATTTGGGTAAATGTAAGTATGGGCCTTTTCAGACCTTTCAGTTTAATATTGTAAAATAGTTTGTACAATTTGCATAATAACATGAAAATAACGCTATTATTTTTGCTAAAAAAGCATTAACCACTGTGCTTAATGCTGTGGGTATTTGTTAGAATCTATTAAGAGAACACTGTGCTTATCCCAAATACGATTTCAGACAGCAAGGTTCTAATCTATATAGTGAACTTAGTGGGTAGAGAACTTCAACAAAACATCCTGTAATGGTAAAGAATTAGGTCAATTTGCTGTGGCTTTGTGTGAATAGGCTGTGGGTTTTGATAAATGAAAGTGGACAGGCTCATAAAGTACTAACCACGATCACACCTCTGTTTATTTTCATCCACTGGTGTTTAGATCAACATAAAATGCACTGTAACATCAGGTTGCTCTTTAATACAAGATGAATGTCCTGACTGATGCCATTCTTTTCCACTCATCTTGTGATGGATCTGTTTTTCTAGATCCTTCAGGTCTTTTAAATGTCTGTATTTTTGAGTCTCTTGATGGTTGTTGGAGCCTCAGCAGCAGAATTTGGAACACACAGGTGTTGACTCTTCATTTGTGGCATCTGCAGCAACCTGGAGAGTACATGTCTTTACAAATTAAACAAGACAAACATCTATGTAATTTTGAATCAGTCCTATCAATATGAAAACAAACCTTAGTCCATACAATTCGACACAATACAGCAGTAATATTATGCGTACAAAACAAAATGCTCTGAAGAACTGTTCAACTCTTACTTGCATTGTAAGTTATTGCTTGTTTAAAGTGTCAATATTCCAAAGGTTTTATTTGGTAATGATGGCTTATAAAGAATAAAGGCCAAACAAATCAGGCCAATGCAAATATGAACAAGCTATAAACCAGGTATTTTGCATGGATCACAGACATTATGTGGAATATGTGGGAAGCGCAATGTGTCGTGTGTAAACAAAACAAATGTATATAGACTAAATACACCCAATGTTGATGTGTTGATGGTCATGGTGTCATGATTATTAATATTTACTGTATTTCTGGGATTCTTGGTAGTAAAAATCAGTTCCTGCTTGGTAATAATGTTTTTTTTAGGATTTTTTGAAGAAGTACACATGCAGATTCTTTAGCAGATATTCATAAATCACTTCATGTCTTCATATTTTAGTTATTTCACTGAATACACTAGGCCAGGGGTGCCCAATCTCTGTCCTAGATGGCCAGTGTCCTGCAGATTTTAGCTCCAACTTGCCTCAACACACCTGGATGAATCTTTCTATACCAAGCTGCGGTCACACTTGACTTTTCTCCCCATTCATACGCACACGGATGTGTCAGACCGGAAACGCAGGGTCATGCGTTAAGTTTCACATTTCGCTGCGGTGCAAAGTTCAAGCTTGGTGAACTCTGACCTGCGAAATCGCATTACTTGACTGCGTGAGATCAATCGAGGATCAAAACATGACCTCTCTGGACAGAAATTTAAAACATGGAGCAATCGCTCACTTTTTTATGACAGGAGTTTTGCACACACAAACTCTAGTGTGACAGCAGCTTTAGAGTTTGATTAGCTAGCCCAGGTGTGTCTTATTGGGGTTGGAACTAAATTTGTATTTCCTGCATCCTGGAGACGTGTGTCACCATAATAACACCACTCATTAGTTTATATAAAACCTTAAATAATGGCATCAGGTGACGCTTCAGCAAACTAAATGAGATGCATCTGTGTGTTTATGAACCAGTTTGATCACTAAGAGAGCTTAGAGATCATTGTTGTATTGTGTTTTTGTATAATATGATGTAACATAGAAATATAATACAACAATAAATGCTCTGCCTCGTCATGTTGGGTATATGTTGAATGAATAGTATAAAGCTAAATATTAACATAATAATGGAAAATAATAGAAAAGATAATATATATATATATATATATATATATATATATATATATCTGTACCAAAGCTTGATTCAGTTCAAACAATAAATGAACAAACAACCAAACTGTAGACAGATGCCAATGAGATTTGAATGGCAAATCCAAATATTTGCTTTTCTTTTTGTCTTTCAGTTTCTCTGCGTCACTGAAAAAACAGCATTCTCGATGTTTGGTTTATTGATAAACTACAGTCAACAGATGACAGACAATGACAGCAGGAATGTGTGCACAAATACTTTCATATTTGAGTGTGTGAGAGAAACTTTGTCAATGTCTGGTTAATGTTTTAGTCAATTGTAAATAAATGCTGTAAAGTAACATCCCACAATAACTCGATGTCTTTGTTTAACCACTTTTTACTAAATAAAACCAGTATTGAACTACTTTAAAACAGCTTTTGTCTTTTTTTTGTCAATACACTTAAAGTTAGTATATATGTTAAATAAATATGTGTTTAGAATTTAACTTCAAAGTCATCGGAAAAAAGTATTAATCTCTTGAGTGGTTTTAATTCTCCCCCTCTCAGAAAAAAAGGTACAATGAGGGTACAATTTTGTTCCTAGAGGGAACAAAATATAAAATTGTACCTTTAAAGGTCCCATATTGGTCCTTAGGGTACAATTTTGTACCCAAATGGGCTATAAAGGTACAAATGTCCAGATTTAGGTTTGAAAGGTACATTTTTGTACCTTTTATAGCACATTTGGATACAAAATTGTACCGTAAAGGACCAATTTGGCACCTTTAAAGGTACAATTATATATTTTGTTTCCCTATAGGAACAAAATTGTACCCTCAGCTCATGATAAGATCAAGACACTATATAACACTAATTTAAATGTATTAATACTAAACATTAATACTAAAATACATAATTTAAAAATATAATAAATAAATAAATTGATTGAATTAAATATTTTAATAATTAAATTTTTTTCATGTATTTAAATTACATTTTTTCTCAAAAATTTTAATAATTTAATTTATAATTGAATGTAATTTTAATCAATAAAAATGTAAATACTGGTCTTTGCTTACTGTTTAAGACCCTTTAGTTTATGGGATGTAGAATAAGAACCATGCAGAGTGACAGCATCTTCATACAGGTGGTGATGTTGCTGTCTCTTTAAGAATTTGGCTTGTTGAGACGTTATAGTAGTGTTTGTTACTGAGGCGGTCGGTAGTGTATGCTGGCTGTTTACACAGAACTTCGCACGCTTTTCAAAGAAAAGTCTATTTTGGAGTCCTCACTTTTCAGGTAAGAATGTATTAAAGATATATTTTCAGTCTCATTTTTACATGTGAAGCCGTGTTCTGTTGATTTTGTCTGACTCTCGGGTCTCGGCTTTCCCCCGCTTTAAGTGCTCCGGGCTGGCCTGCAGGATGGAGTTTGCTAAGATGTCTGCAGCTTATTAAATAAGTTAATACAATGTGATATCGAAGTCACCGAGGGACATAACGTTATAGACGGTGAGTACTATATGCTGTTAGTTTTCTCGGTGTAAAAGTTCCCTTTGTCGCCTACGTTACCTATTCGCGCCTTATATCTTACGTTACGTTACTGCTTTATTAATTAGTGTTGCCACGGCGGAATATAATCGCAACCCAATTAGCAAAATACACTCGGGCCAGCTGCGGCGGCAGAAGCGCGACGCTGCCGTATCCGTGCACCGGAATCGGGCCGTGACCCGTGAGTAATGTGCGGTGTGGCCCGGAGCTCGCGCGACTAAAGTCTTCATATAACGTTACCTTGATATAAAACCTTTTGTTATTAATACTGGAAATTTGTAATTATCGATAATGTTTTATATTTTGAGGCCATTTTTCTAGCCACGGTTGACCGCTGAAATGTAATTTTAGACGGTTATATAAGTTAAGTTACACCGCCATTTTGTGAAGAAAAATCACAATTTTGTCACCGACAAAGTGACTGATTATGTAAACGTGGCTAGTTACAAACGTGGCGTGCGTAAGTTACATATCTTCGTTTCAATGTCTTAAGTTACATTAATGTTGAGGAGTGTTCACAAACTCTCATGTCCAGAATTGTTGGTGCTTTACTATCGTTTAACGTTATACTTATGTTAATGTAGAATTATTAACATACCATGTTGTATAAATCGACGTTTTAAGTTATACTTTGTTCTTTAATGTAATAATTTGTCTCATCTGTTCTGAAACTGGTACCTTGAGCTATTTTACCTATTTTATTAATATCTCAAAATAAATAAATAGTTATTGCTTTATCTTATTGCTTTCCAGAAGTTTTTGAAGTTTCCAATTGTCTTTCAGGACAAGATTGAACAACAGAATGCAGCCTAACAGCATCAGACCAATGAAGGCATGTCAAATGAAAGCATGGCTCAGTTACAAGATGTAAGTATGTCTCATTATCTATACCATGGTTTTAATGGCTTACATACTATTTTAAATTTGTAGGTTTTTACTTACGAACAACAATAAATGTACACCCACATGTTTAAAATTATTTTCTAGGTTTTCATCGAAAGATGAGAGATCAACTGAAGAATGCTATGGACCTGACTCTAAGGTACTCTTTCTAAACTTTCTCAACTTGATTAATATTATTCAATTCTAGCTTTGTATGGATTCCTTCATATTTGTTTCATCTTATGTTCCAGGAATTGATTTTACAGCAGCACTTCTCATGTTGCCAGCCTTGTTAAGCGAGACACTTCAACATTTCGTTGTGCTCCGGTGCGTATGTTGTTTTCTGTTCAGTATATGCTGTGATAAATGCATTTTATAATGCTAGATATTCTTTATATTAGGATGACGCAGTGGGTAGTGCTGTCACCTTACGGCAAGAAGGTCGCTGGTTCGAGCCTCAGCTGGGTCAGTTGGCATTTGTGTGAGGAGTTTGCATATTCTTCCAGTGTTCGTGAGGGTTTCCTCCAAGTGCACCGGTTTCCCCACAAGTATAAAGACATGCGCTATGGCTGAATTTGGTAAGCTTATTTGTCTGTAGTGTATAAATGTGTGTGTGAATAAGTGTGTCTGGATGTTTCGTAATACTGGGTTGCAGCTAGAAGGGCATCCGCTGCATAAAACATATGCTGGATAAGTTGGTGGTTCATTCCACTGTGGCAACCCCAGATTAATAAAGGGACTAAGCCGAAAAGAAATTGAATGAATGAATGAAATTTATATTAGTCTTTTAATCTGTGATACTTTTTTTTTAATCAGTGAATATTAATTATTTTACTTTCTATGCATGTTGATTTTCTCTTCATCAGTGATAGAGTGACTGATATTAATGTAATTATTGCTTGTCATTTACAGTGAACCATCTTCACCACATCAAACAGTTCAAGTACAGGAGGAGGCCACCGACTGGACAACTACGTTAACAAGACGAGTCACGGCAGTCTTCAGAGTTGATGGGATTGCGATTGGCTGGCCAATGATGTGGACGAATATACATTTTTGACATATCCATCTTATTAGAAGAACACCTTGATGTTTCTGCAGTGGAATGTTTTGAATGAACGGTGGACTGTGACAAGCCTCGATCTACTCCAGTTACCAAAGTGATCAACCTTGTTTTTTGTTTCTCTACATGCTCTTGGGATAATCACAATCATCAAGTTAATCCAGCACACTGCTATCATTCATGCATAAAGCACATTTTTAAATAACTTGTGGTCCTAATGACTATCAAAGAACATTTTCCAGATATGAGTGCCTTACATGTCATGTTTATCAAAAACATAAACACATATTGTGTTACAACAAATTACAACTCCACTTGAGGATGATGAGGAGTAATCTACTGATGTATTTGGTTTTCTGCACTGTTGAAGCAATTTACAGAGAACGTTTGCCTTCATTCTGAAATTCAGAGAAAATGTTGATGACAAATTATTTATTATGACCGAGTATTCTGACTAAAGACAAATACTTTGGACTTTGTAAAGTGCAGTACTTGATGTAGCCTGTGTAATGTGTTTATAAATCTTAAACAGTATTCTTGTGGTCTTTGTATTAAGTTAAGATTTAGTTTTTATTCTTATCTAAATTGTTCTTTTTACTGTTTTACATGTCTGCTTCATACTTGCTGTGTAATTTTATTTCTTAACACATTCAGTTGTGAGTTGTAATGAAATATTTCTACATTAATAAATAAAAATGGACATCTGTGAACCAAAATATTTTATTTATTTATTTGTGCATGCAGTCACCAAAAGATCAAAATGCCTGGGTCAGTACCCTGAAAATGCTATATAATATAAAAAGGTACATTTTTGTACCTTCGGTGGGGGTACAAAATTGTCCCTTAAAGGGTACAAATGTAGAAGGTACAATTTTGTACCTTTAAATAGAGGTACAAATTTGTACCCTTAACGGTACCACCCCAGTGACGGGCCATTTGTACCCTAAAAGGTACAATTTTGTACCTTTTTTTCTGAGAGTGTAGGGGGTTAAATTTCAAAGTTGTCTGTAAATGCGATCTCTGATGGCCTCTAGTGGTGTCAACATGAACAGCTGATCGACTTCCCAACCCTGCTTTAACAGATTTATGTTTCAAACAAGCCTGAATGACTCCATTAGTTTGTTTAATTACTGTTGTAAGTAAACTGTACAATTTATTTATTGTTGTCAATTCAATTCAAACATAAAGCTTGTATTTTCACAAAGTAACCAAAGAAACTGCTCACAAGCAAAACAACATCAGATTCAATCATATAACATTTTATGTGATGCTTCTGTTTCCATTTAAGTTTAAGAATGTTAGAGCTGTAAATATATTGTAAAAATACTGTGCTTGGTTATACCTAAATAATGATGACAGCTCAAGTTAATTGTCAGTTAGGAAGTGACCAAGTGATCAACTCAAACTTAAAGTCATGTTTTAGCACTATAAAGCACTAATTAAGTTGAATTTAACTACACAGGACATTTTTGGAAGAAAGAAAACAATTTAAAGTTAAATTATTGGCAAATACAAACAAGTGCAAATTCTGGCTAAAACAAATCAAAAACTAAGATAGATTGTCAGTAGAGCATTGGTCTTAAACTCAATTCGTGGAGGGCCACAGATCTGCACAGTTTAGCTCCCACCACCTCCAAATCACATCTGGTTAATGGTCTTTTGTAGTCTTAAATGCAGTAATTAGTTGTCTTTGATAAGGGTTGAAGCAAAACAGTGCAGAGCTGTTACTCCTTTTTCCATTTGAGCTTCAGAAAGCTATAAGAACTGACAGACATATGTGTAAAGGTTTTGACTCTCGGATTCTGGTTAAACCTTCAGTCGGTGAAAGATGCAGTTTGTCTTTAACCATCATCTGACCGCTTAATGGAACACATGTATGGTTTTGGTTTTAGCAGTTCAGCACACACTGTAAAAGATACTGGGTTTCACACAATAGA